CTACATCAAATTGGAACTCAGAAATATGGAACACAAACATTTCCCAAAAACTAAAGTTGTTTTTGTGGAAGATAATATGTGGAGCCTTACCTACATGTAGGGGATCAGTTGGCCTCTAGAGGAATCACCAACCAGTCACAATGCATAAGGTGTGGAGAACCATAGTCCCCGGTCCACCTCTTCTTCCATTGTCAATTCGCAAGGCAGGTTTAGGGATTGGCCCCTTTTAAAAATCAATTTAACCCTCTCCAGATCTCGGACCTTGCAGCAAGCTTAACACTCTCCAAACAGTTAGTGTGCTTACCACCAACATGAGTGATCAACGGTCCCCTATTGCCATGGATCCTCTGGACGCTGTGGACAACACGAAACAACAAAATATTCAACAATCGAGTCTTTTCAGAGGAAGAGACATTGATTAAAGCGATCCAAGATGCAAAAGAATGGCTCAATGCACAAATCTCACTTCCCAAATAAACTTTATCTACAGAGGAACAGAGATCGAACTTACCAGAACTCGGATTGACATGCTTCTCTGATGCGGCGTGAAAATCTGACACCAGAAAAGCAGGGCTTGGCTGGATCATCCGTAACCCGAACAATAATATCTTAGCCCACGGATCGAGAGGAGTACCACATGTATCAAATCCCTTTATGGCGGAAGCTCTAGGGATCCGAGAGGTTTTGATTCAAGCATCGAATCGGGGCTTCAAAAATTTGATCGTGGCTTCGGCCTCCAAGCCGCTTATCAACCTTATAAACTCGAGAACCTCTGATTTGTCTCCCCATTAGGACATCTATGGTATGCTACAAGACATTTTCAATATCGCTCTAGATCTCAAAGTTTCAACTTTTGTTTTCATTCCAAGAGACAAGAACACCATGGCTGATAGCCTTGCCAAATCGGCGATGTACTATGAATCGGCTAGATCCGGTCCGATTGTAACACCGGTTTAATGAATCTAATTAATTTCGACCAAAAAAAAACCTCTCTTTATTTTCTCTCATACTTTTAATTATTTTATTATTTATTTTGGCTAGAAATCCATGGAAAAACTCTCCATTAGGTATACTCTTATAGATTAGAAAATGAGATGTTTATTGATTAG